ATTTAAGAAACATGATTCTACTAGTATATAGAACCAGGCTAATGGTAACGTCATAACATTGACTGTTGACACATTTTCAGATGACACCGTCAAAATCACATTGAACCCAGGTGAAGTCTCTGACAGAATCCTTCCTTCAATTACCTCACTGAAATCCACATGAAACACCATTCATAAATCTTTCATCTTGCCCTATTCCGAAGGACGACCGGTGTCTTCTACAATTAGGCGAGAACTTTTACCTTCACTTCACAAAAAACAATTGTGTTTGAATTTATTAAAATGTATTGAGAATAATATTATAAAATTGCCTGAGCTTACTGGTACCTACATTAGAAATCTTTCAATTCCTATTTTGAGCCGCTTAAATTTCTCCGTTTCCAGTAAAAACAACGTCAATAATGCTTCTTAATTAAAAAAAAAAAAAACGAACAGAAATTCATACAAGAAAATCTCAGTATCTTGTTTACCAAAGCAGATAAGGGGAACATAACTGTGACTGTTGATAGGGATACATATGTTGCGAAAATTAAAGACATGCTCAGTGATAGCAATACTTACACCGTTATTAATAAAGATCCGACTAGGAAGATTGTTCAATTCTTGAACACGTTGCTTTCGAGATGGAAAAAGAGAGAGTATATTTTCTCGACGAGATATAGATCATTATATTGCAGCGTATATTATCGAGGGCTTATGAATTCCCGAAGATACACAAGCCGAATTGCCCTTACAAAATTATTGTATCTTCCATTGATACACTATTTTACCAAATAGCCGCTTTTTTTGCACGATGATTTCTGCTAATATTTCCAAAGCTTCTAGTCATATTTTGAATAGCTATGAACTGGTCAAGAAATTATGGGGAACATTTATTGATAACAATTTTTCCTTAATCTCTCTGGATGTCGTTTCATTATTTACCAATGTTCCGACAGATTTGGCTATATCAATGTTTGTCGAAAAAGTGGCACTTCATAACTGAACACTGTAAAATATCGAAAAATGATTTCTTGGTTGTTCGGTTTGTCCTTAATTCAACTTTTTTCACTTTCGACAATATAATATATAAGCAAAATTTCGGAACTTCAATGGGTTCTTCTCTTTCGTCGCTGATCTTGTTATGCAGGAGTTGGAGGATGGGATACTTGCGACAATCTCTCTGTTCTGGTACCGATTTATTATAGATATGTTGACATTCTTATGGCAGTTTCTTTTTCTGCGATTAACCAAATTGTGGAAAATTTTAATGCCTTCCACCAGAGGCTACAATTCACATTAGAGATAAGAGGAAAACATATGAATTTCTTAGATGTCTCGCTGTCCGTAAAAAATGGTTTAAATGATTTGATTGGTATCACAAACCAATTTTCTCAGGTCATTGTTTGAACTTTTTGTCACAGCACCCCATCTTCCAGAAGAGAGGCATAATCATGAATTTAGTAGACAAGACATTTTTTTCTGTCGCATTCAAAATTTCACGAAAAAAATCTCCAATTTATTGTCAATGTTACTTGATAATGACTACCCAAAGGATTTTATTTTTGATAACATTACTATTTTTGATAACATTAACAAACGATTAAAAATCTAATATATAAGCGAAAGAATGAGTCAACTCATAATAATAGTGTTAGCACACGGGAAAACAAACTCAATCATCAAATCATAGCTTACCCCCCCAATGCTATACATCCCCAATGTTTCCGACAAATTTAGTAACATCTTTAAAAACTTGGAATACAGACTGGTTTTTTATAATATTAACAAACTTTGTGGTGTTATCAAGGTAACATAAAGACCCCTTGTCAAATTCACAAAAGAAAAATGTTATATATAAGATCAATTGTCGGGATTGTGATACATCTTATGATCAGACGGAATGATTACTAAGTACTAGAATCTCTGAACTCTATTTGATTCGTAATACGTCTTCCCGCTCCGTGATTTCGAACTACATCCTACATACGAAACATGAATTTGATTGGAACAATGCAAAAATTCTGGATATTGAGAACTCATATAACAAACAGTTGATCTCAGAAATGATATATATTAAGAGACAAAAGAACGGTTTAAATTTAAAAACAGACACCGAATTGTTAGATCGTGCTTATTTTATATTTATAAACAAATAATCGCATTATTATTTTGTACCGTGTCTAAACAACCTTGCCACCTCTGTCCTACGATTACATCTTTTACCGCCGTGAATTGTTCCTTACTGTAAAATGTAACTTCGGACAAAACGGTTCTTTTATTTTATTTGGAATGTCTTCAATATTTCGTGTTCCGATTTGATCATGTGTTATAGATTAAATTTTAAAGTTGAACTGTTTGACTTTAACTTTATATTTTTTTTAAATTATTGTTAATCTTATTTATTGTTAATCTTATTTATAAAAAATATGCAAGATTCTTCAGTATTAGTTTGAAGGTAGGCTGACTGTGCATTGTGTCATAGTAAAAATCTTACTACTACTATTATTACTTTTAATTTTTTGCACATTTTCGTATCACTTCCAGTTGTGCAACTGTGCTATGGATAGCATTTCACAGGATGTACAATGAGTATCGTTACAAAAGACTAGCGTGAAATTTTGTACTACAACCATACGACATCGATATTATTCGGGGAGGTTTGTACTGAAGATGGCTCAAATGTGAGTCGAAACGTCTACTTTTATGTAACTTTATATTATTAATTAAAATTATGTAATTTATATTATTAATTAGCTCTCGCCACAAAACCTGCGTCTGACTCTCAATTTGCCATGTTATCTTTCTAATTTGTAATTGTTTCATTCAGACAGTCTGTTAGCTGTTATTAACTGCTAATAATTGTTCAATTTTTATTATAAAAAATATTTTTTCATTAAGTTTTCGAGTTATGAGATTTGAAAGTTACAGCATATTGATACAAAATACAAAATATTTTGTAAAATATTCAGTTTTCGATAATCTTATCTTAATATGTTTATGCACAAAATAACAAGATAAATCAATTGGTGTAAAGAAAACACAAGTAGCTTTTAAAAAAACATATGTAATTTACAACATGGTGCTGCATATTTTTTAATAATATTTACTAGTACGAGGGTAGTCTGAAAAGTTTTGAGCCTTAACATGAAGATGACGTTACTCGTCAAAACCATTCTAGTACTATAATAGTATATACTTTGAAAGACTTTTGTGAAAATTTCAGCCATTTTGGACACTCAATTGTTGTTTGACACTCGTTTGTGTCAGTCGATGTCAGTGTTTTTGTAAAAATGGAAAAAATTGAATATCGTGCCATGATTAAATTCTTACATTTGAAAGACAATACGCCTGCGCAAATTAAAATCGAGTTGGACTGTTTATAGGGACTCTGCTCCATTATTTGCCACCGTAAAAAGATGGGCAGCTGAATTTAAAATGTGGTCGTACCAGCTTGGCTGATGATGAGCGTTCGGGACGGCCAAAAACTGCGACCACCGCTGATAGCATCGAAAATGTTCACCAAATGATACTGAATGACCGTCGAATCAAGGTTAGAGAGATAGCAGAGGCTATGGGCATATCGAAAGAACGCGTTTGTCATATATCAACTGAAGAATTGGATAATGCGCAAGCTATCCGCGCGTTGGGTGCCGCGCTTACTCACTTTGGACCAAAAACGAATTTGAATGAACATTTTCAAGGCCCTGTTGGAGCGGTTCAAGCGAAACGAGTCAGATTTTTTGCGTCGATTCATAACTGTAGATGAAACTTGGATCCACCACTACACTTCAGAGACAAAAGAACAGTCAAAACAGTGGACTGCAAAGGGTGAACCTGCTCCGAAAAAGGTGAAAACGGTTCTATCAGCTGGGAAGGTAATGGCGACTGTTTTTTGGGATAGTCACGGAATTGTGTGTATCGACTATCTTGAAAAAGGTAAAACAATAACGGGAGCGTATTACGCATCATTACTTGATAAGCTGAAATTGCAGAAATTGCAAAAAAACGCGGCCACATTTGAAGAAGAAGAAAGTGCTGTTCCATCAAGACAACGCACCTGCTCACACTTCGGCGGTCGCCATGGCCAAAATTCACGAATTGCACTTCGAATTGGTTGACCACCCACTGTATTCACCAGATCTGGCCCCCAGCGACTTTTTCCTATTTCCTAAGCTTAAAGTTTCGCTTGGAGGACAGAGATTTTCATCAAACGAGGAGGTCATCGCATACGTAAACGCCTATTTTGCGGAGCAAGACGCCAACTACTATTTGGAGGGGTTAAAGAGGTTAGAGTATCGATGAGAAAAGTGTATCGACCTAAAAGAAGATTATGTTGAAAAATAAAACTATATTTGACCGAAAAAATAGTTGTTTCTATGTTAGGCTCAAAATTTTTCAGACTACCCTCGTATATAGTTACTAGTAATATCTAAACAAGATACTTGCTTTAGATGCTTACATTTATATCCTTATTGGCCCATTTTTAAATTTGAGAAAGTTGACCTACTGCGGCGCATAGCGGTGTAACGTCGTACTACTCTCTCTTTGGATGTTGGATGTTTCGTAATTGTAAATTCGCATTTTGGTCATTTGACCTTGGATAATCTTGAATTATGCGTTGAACTCATAATGAGCAGTACTATGAACGTAGGTGTTTCAAAAATTAGGTTGTCATTTAAAAAAATTGATCTTAATTAACTTTTATATCTCTTCAAGGTTAACATTTTAATTATTTATTTTTTAAATTAAAATATGTTCCTCTCGATATCATACAACCTCATGAAAACATGATTTCGATATCTCGTATGGTTCCGGAGAAATTCAAGTGCGCTGATTAAAATGGAACATTCTGCATAATATTTTATCCTACAATAAATGTGGTTATCGATTAAAGACTACATTTGCATTACATTTTACATGAATTAGATATTCGCGATTTAATGTAATACATGATATAATACATCTGTGATTATTCTGATAATTCTTTGTTTTTGGAAATGGCAAAATAAAAATAATACTTTTACTTTGCAGGAGCCTACATTGATCTATTGGATATTAAAATAGGACTACCACGAGCAAATCCATGTTCTGGAAAGACAAATCTGCAGAGTGATGCTTTATTTACAATTATCGATGAACAAGTGAAACGAAATCCGGATGAAGTTAAGAAAATTAATGCTATCTTCCTTTACAATATTACCGTTGACGGCAAACCAGCAGCTGAATGGAGTAAATAATTTTAGAAAGTTTTGATAATATATTACATTGGTGATATTTAGGTGATGTGTACATATATGTATTCTGAATCATAGAGCTGGGAAAAAAGAAATGAAGATATTTAATATCAATTAAGATAATAATACATCGATAAGTCCTAAATCTTAAAATAACATTAAGGTAATATAAGTAATTTTTTTCTGTTTTTCTTGGCAGCTCTTGATTTAAAGAAAGGTGAAGTACACAAGGGAAAACCAAAATCTGAAAAAGCAGACACGACGCTCACTATAGATGATAAAGATATGGTTGAAATAGTAAGTCAGATATATAAAAATAAAAGCATATATCTTTTTTCTTTTAATAATATTATAATTGTTGCAGGCACTAGGAAAATTGAATCCACAATTGGCATTTATGCGTGGTAAATTGAAAATAAATGGAAATATTATGCTCATACAAAAGTTAAAAAATTTTATGGACACTTACAAAGCAAAGTTGTGATTCTTTTTATATTGTTATTATTGTTATAGTTTTAACCAAATAATCTATAAAAATAGTAAATTACAAATTTATATAAAACCTGAAAATGGAAATATTTGTATAAGTTGGGGATATGCATACATCTTATATATTGTTATTATTTGCTTTGAGAGAAACTTGTAAAGAAAATATTGGGAAAATGTTGAATTTCTGAGTTTATACACTTGTATTATAATACATTTATAATAATAAAGTTACATCAAAATAATAATAACTATAAAAATCTATAATTAAATGTGTGAAACATATTGAATAGATGTATCTCACTTATTAGAGTGGAAAGAAAGTTAACCTTTATTTTTTTAGACATAAATATGAAAATTTATATTAATTAGATATAAAAATTTAGCACATAACATGTATTTACATGACTCGAAAGAATTTTGGTACACAAAGGGAATATATCTTAGGCAAAATATTGTTAAAAATAAAATACATAGGAAAAAGAAAGACGAAGAGAAAATGCAAAAATCTTTGGTTTAACATAGGTCTTAATTATAATCCTAATTATAATTCTCTGGAGTATGTTCTCCCGGAGGTAATAGTATCAATTTCAATATTTTAAAGGATGCAACAGAGCTTTCTCGATGACGGCTTTTTCAGAACGGCTTTAATAGCTTCCATAAAGACCTCCTCGAGACCTTCTTGTTTTATCGCAGAACATTCGACATATTTAACTGCTTTAATCTTTCTTTTCATTTTATTGCAATCTCGGGGACAAATAATATCCATATCTTCTTGATTTCTAAGATCTGCCTTGGTACCTAATAAAAAATAAATATAACTACTCATACCATAAAACATAACAAAAATATTTATCTCAGGCTTATATCCTATATATATATATATATACATATTTTTTTTTTCTTCAAAAAATTGAAAAATAATAGAAAACATAAAATCATGCAAAAATAATTGTAAAAAAATGCTTGTGTAAATATTTTATATTCAAATTTCTTCATAGTTATTTTATGCATGAAGATAAAATATTAGCTTTATATTAAATAAATTATAATTTTAATTATAATTTTACCTAAACAGATTTAATTAAAGAATTTTTATTATTAGATGGTTTTAGAAGATCACAAAAATATAGTTTGCCTCTTATAATTGTACTGAATATTTAAAAAAACTTTAAAAAAGACTATAAAACATCAAATTCAGTTTAACATTGAAATGAGTTAATATATAAAATAGTAACAAGTTAATATAAAACAGTTAATAAGTTATATAAAACATATGTGCTCACCTACAAGTACAATTGGTATGTTGGGACAATATGCTTTAATTTCTGGATGCCATTTACTTGCTACGTTTTCGAAGGAACTGCGTGCACTTATAGAAAAACAGACCAAAAAACAATCAGTCTGCAAATAAAGAAAAATATTAATTTAAAAAATAAAAAAAACAATATATATAAATAGAAGAAAAGTGTAATTAGGCATAAAATCATCCATGATTGAAAATATCAATATTAGGAGTCAAATAAAAAATTTGAACATATTGTACAATATGTTCAATTTGCTTGAGTAGTTAAAAAAACGAGTCTTGAGTTCGAATAGTTCAACAGGACAGTTTGAACAATTCGAACTTAAGCAAAAATTGATCTGAAATAATTTATTATGTTCGAAGTTTAGATAATTTAGACCATAAATAATATTAGAACGCGGTTCCAATTATTATTATACGCGGTATGTATTAAGAAAATAAAAAAAATTCGTTCCTTTTTTTAATTTCATGCGCATATTGATCTGAAGTGAATTCAAACATTTTCGAATTGTTCAAATGTATGTATTCTCTTCGAAAGGGCGACATAATTCAACATTCTATCTTCGATTTGACTGTTCGAATTGATCTGATTCGAATATTAATACATATATTAGTCGATATTCATCAATTAAAGTAAACAAATAAATGCATTATCCGGCAAATCTTAGATACTTAATAATTGTCTTTTTGAATTTATATATATAAATTCAAGATAAATGTTTATATTGCGACTCATATACTGTTATTTTTTGATAAACTTGCAATGTAACTATTCAAAGTCATAATTAATTTTTCTTTAATAAATCGATAATCAAATTTTATATGGGTCCTTTCTTCCATAAAAAATTCTTATTGAGAAAAAAATATCAACTAGGATTCCTGAAGTCTTCCGGCTATCCGTGCCGGATGTCTTTACGAATTCGACTACTGAGGCATATAATATTTATCATAATAATCAGATAAATAAAATAAGTACATAATTAAATGAATGAATAAAAATGTCATTTTCAACCGACATTAAAAATAAATAAATCAATATAAATTAGTAGGCGTCTAAGATTCTATTTATCGAGTAATCATTATCTATTATATTTGTGTTTTTTTTAATTTATTCTTAGTTTATTACATTGTTTATTTTTTGAAAACATTGAAGATGAGACTGATTATGTCTGGATTTCATAAAGTATATATACATGCATTTATTTATAGTTCACGTCACGTATATTGTAAAAAATGCGTACATATGCGCTTTATGAAATTCCTTTATTATCGAGAATAGATCGATTGTCACGTACATTTGGATACGACAATGGTCTAAGCCTCTCGTAATCTTCTTGACCAGCCGTGTCCCATAACGTCATTTCGAATGGCTGACCACCCACGCATATGCTGTCAACGTAATTATCAAAACTGCAAACAAAATAACAGAATAAACGGAATAAATGACATACACGCACGCACGCACGCACGCGCGCACACAAAAATTAGTTATATTCAACATAAAATAGAATATTTTATAAAATAGAATATTTTATAAAATAGAATATTTTATTAATAAAGTATCGCTGTTGCTTATGATATTATGCATCACGCTATAACACTTACACAGTGGGTACATATTCTGTTGGGAATTCTTTCTTTGTATACGTGATGAGCATGCATGTTTTTCCGACCATGCCATCGCCAACAGTTGTAATTTTAATCTTTCTGTTTCTAGACGTCATCTTCATTTCCTCTATAATATATAAAAACATATTAGTAACCTATTTTAAATTGTCCATTATTTGCAGATCGTCGATCTTATTATATATATAAATTATATATTATTATTGTCACTATTATGAACTTTATTTATATTATTTTGATATTTCAAAACATAAATATAAAAAATGTGAAATAAAGTTTCTTTTTGTAATAAAACTCTATCTTTCTTATTTGATGGATTATTCATATTGCAGTGATTTCGTCATTCCTTAAAGTGAAAAGAAAATAGCAGATGCACTGTATGGGCACTAAAGCTGTCCCTCAACTTGCATGTCGCATCAATGAAATAAAAGGTGACTGCTTTATTCTTATCACTGTTAAATTAATGATTATACTCACAGTTTTATATATCTTTCTATTATTCGCAAGGGCTCTTTGTATATCGGGTTAACGGAACTCGTTGGTATTTCTTATCGAATATGTTCATTATCAACGCGCCATCCGGTCAGCTCTCTGATTGCATGATCTGCCTGAGTAGCAAAAGCAAGGATTGATAGTACGTTGCGATAATTATTATCACGATCCATTCATATATGAATGCATTCATCCGAAAATTATAGCTTTATAGTGAGTCTAATTACAAATACATTTATTTGTACTTTCATTATACGAATACATCCTATATTCTAAATGTAAGAAAACTAATTCCTTTTACTTTGTTGATATTACATTATATAATCAATACTATATAATCAAAGATTTTAATATTTCAAATGTATGT